CACTTGCAACACCAGATGCAGTAAACTACGTTGAAGCATGTCTCAAAGCGCAAAACAAAATTGTTGTGTAGAACAAAGTCGCTAAAGGAGTCAGTTATTCAGCAAGAGCTACTTCTTGGATTAAATCAGCAACAGCTTCAAAATTCACCCTCTGTGAAAGAAGTATCCAATGTTCCAAACTTGAATGTGAGTTCACTGGAAATCGGACCAGAAAAAGGATCATTACCTGAAGAGAAACCCGACCAGCGGGTAGAAACACAGACCAATCAAGTGAAAGCGAAAAATTCTAAGGTAGAACGTAAAATACCAGATGTAAAACCACAACTTGTTGAAAAGCCTGTTGATATCGGTCGTCTGGATCTGCGTGTTGGTAAAATTATTGATGTCGGTCGACATCCTGATGCTGATTCACTGTATGTAGAAAAAGTTGACTTGGGTGGAAATGAAATACGCACTGTTGTCAGCGGTCTGGTTAAATACCTCCCCATCGAGTCTCTACAAAACCGTCACGGTTTTACTCTTGTGATTTGTTGCATACATTCATTATATTGGTTGAATTTAAGAAAGAGTTTACCACATTGCATAACGAATCAGAAAGCATCTTGTTTAATCATCAATATTCGTTCAAATGATGGAAGCTCTCAAAGATGGATTGCACGTCAACGTTCAGATCCTTATGTAAAACGTGCTCGTCTTGAGAGTTATAGATGTCGTAGTGCATTCAAATTATTACAATTGAATGATAAAATTCCCGGTGGACTTTTTAAACCTGGTGATATTGTCGTTGATTGTGGTATAATAGTACATAATATAATAGTTACATCAAAAGCTTTCTATTGACCCGCAAACTAATATCACACTAATTAGCGTTCCTATTTGGTTGACAATTTTTAATTTACAGTCCCCTTGACCCACACAGCCACTTTTGGCTCACTTATTAGTGGTTTTCAGTTTCCAGTTATTGGAGTAATTTGGTATGGTTTTGTGTGTATGTAAAGGAGTTTCTGAAATAAAGTAACGAATCTTGAACTTGTTTTTATTCTTACTTTCCGGCTGGACTAGTTAGTATTGAGCCTTTACTCATGCATAGAGTAGCAAATCTCTCTTCCTAGTTGCATCATGGTGACTGAAAATTCGTCTGCGTACAGGCTGGTGCTAAGGTAAGACAAATCCTGCTGCCAGTTTGGTGGTAGCTCAGACACAGATAAGAAAGTTCGTTCGACGTATTAAAAACATTCCGTCGCAAAGCTTTGGGGACCATTTGACAGTCTCTATCTGTATATACACAACAACGTAATGTACAAATAACTTTTCTGAGTTGTTTGATTCCTAGTTTCAAGATCTTTTTGTTTTTGAATCTAAGAGGTTTTGAGAAGTTTGATTCCCTGAAAACTTTCTGAAGAAGTTATTCAGTGCTATTCAAGATAAGTCTGTTCAAATCCCGAAACTCGCGTAGTTATCGCACAAGCTCGACTGGAAAAACGTATGAATCTCTTGAAACAAGAACGGATTTTGCAAGTAGACTTTTTAAAGTATTAAACAATCACTTATGAACCAAATAGTTGGCGTCCAGATACGACCACACGGTTCCTACTGTCAGTACACCCACATCATTACGAAATACCTTGAACAGCACCGAAACAAGAGATAGCAAAGAAATCGTTTGATTTATAATAATAATAATAATAATAATAATAATTTATTCTCAAATAAGTTACAAGAGTCACGCCAGTTTACAGGCTAGATCAATTTGTCACAAATGCTTTTACAATTACTGTAAAAGTTATAGCAGTTAAATTAAGTATAAGAGACAGTTTCTGATTGCATATTTACACCATATCACTGACAGAAACAGTATTATACAGCCACATTTTCAATATCAGAGTACAAATGAGGAAGGTGCACAATAGGTTCTATTGGCAATTGGCCGAGATCAATAGTGAATTTGTTGGGAAAGGTCATATGGAACGCGCTTGATACGAGCTGTGATCCAGACAGTCATGTACATTGGGTGCATGTTACCTAGAGTTGCCAAGGATTTCCCACCGTGAATGGGGTTCTGAAAAGGAGAAGAGGGAGAGGAAAAGGCAGCAGTGTGGCAAGTGTATATATATAACCAAAGCACTACTTAACCTGCCATGTTGAAGTAGTCAATACAGTAGTAAGTCAAGATAACATTCATACTGACCACTTAAATTAAAGTAAATTATGGGAATATAAGAATATAACGCACAGATAAAGGAGTACAGGAAAAAGAAGGGAGAGTTGTGCAGTGTCAGGTGGATAGAAGAGAAGTCGAAGTAAGAAGCTGGATTTATGTACGTTGAAATCGAAATTCTAGTTAAAAGAGTAGAGTTTGTAAAAACAAATATTTGACGAATAAAATCTCGCACTGTCTAACTGTTTTTTTTCTTTATTATTGAATGCCAACCTCTAAGTCATACTGTAAGCGCCTGAGTAAGAATGTTGCAGGTGTCTCGACAGAATAGCGACCTCAGCATAGTTTTGGAAACATGAACCACAGAAGTAGCAAGCGTATAAGAGCAACCTCAGTGTTACTGATTAGTCGTCTCATCAATCTAAAGAGCCGAAAGCAAACAAAATGTTCTGCCCCACAAACATGGGTTGTTTGAAGTTATCGCCCATACCATACTAGCTCGCGAAAATGATTTTGGGTATGCCATTCCGGTATGTGTGGCCACAGCCTCCTCGATGGATAGTTTTGAGAACAGATTCGACGGTCATGCACATAATCATGGTTCACTATCAGTGTGAAATTCTGACCCACTTTAGGCACTCATAGGAAATAAGCATTCCATTTATGAGCACGCCCGCTCTGCGAATACCTTACGATAAGTAACAAATTCTACGGTTTATCGAAAGAGATACGGCCTATTATTACACACTAAAGGCAGGTATATAGAAAGCAAGCTCAATAGCTTCTCCTGATGACTGGGAAACAGACCTACGGGCGACCACACAACTTAGCTTTTTATTTATTGAAAGGTCCTGAAGAAAATGAACCTTGAGTTCGACTGTTAACCTCAACTTTTTCTGAGACAAGAGAGAATTACTTAATTTATAGTGAAATGCACAATTTTTGTGTAAAACAAACCTTATGATAGTTAATGGGTGAAAATGAAGCTGTTTGAATGAATAAACTAGGCTGATATTGTCTACATGAACTTCTGTAAATCTTTAGATAAAAAGTTCAGTATCTGGACTCACGTGAGGCCTAAAAATCTATGTAAGTCCGTACCTATGATAAGTTGAATCAGATTTCGCCAACAAAATCAAGAAAAATTTCTGAATTCTTGTACTGAAGAGCAGCTCTAATTGAGAAACACTGTCTTAAATTCCATGTCATTTACTGTGTAAGCCGTATGTAAATAAAATCCCAAATGCCAGTAAACTTGCAGTTTAACCTTATGCTAACTGTTTAAAAATCTGTAGAGAATTATATGAAGGTAATAATGGTAATGAACTCTTTGGAAACCGAAGAGTATTGGTAGCCTGGTAAAAAATTATGAAAAAAGCTAAACAACGTGAACGCGAAATTCCGTATATTCTCTGGATATTGCTCTTAGTTTTCAATCGAACTAGACCAACAGGATTCAGTAATGCTTGGCCTTAAGATTGAGGTCCACAGCTGTCTAGTCACTTATAAAGGTTTTATATAGTTCTGGGCATCTAGTTGAATATTCAGTGACCAATAGCCAAACAAGTTCAGCACTGTATACTTAGAACTGGCGAGACATAACGTATAAAAATGCATTCGGAACATGAAATACTGTCTCAAAGATGGTGAGGATTACCGTGGTGAACCAAAAATAATTACTCTCCATGTAGTTTGGAAATCATGACGCAAACCAGACACGATGTAACGTGAGGAGTTATACCACCGAACCGGTCTTTACATACACTATAAGGTTATCTAATTATGATGCTTAAGATGCTACTAGTGATATTGAAATAATTATGTTTCCTTAATCCCTCGTAATCAGCTACGATAGCTTAGAGAGTACAACAATCAACTTTAAGATCTAAGTCTCTGTGGATTCCCGTCAAGTGAAAAACGGTTTAAAACTCAATCAACCAAAGTGCCACGTTATGCATTTCCTTCCTCACATGACGCAAACGACCTATACCCTCAATGGAAGTCCGCTCCCTAATGTCTCCTCAGAGCGCAATCTCGGTTTAATAACAATAGAAAGCCTCCACACGAGTCCAAACTATGTAGGGGATGCAGCCAAAGCAAATGCGACTTGATAATCAAGTACTCACATACGGACTATCATCTCCTTCTTGGACAAGCTGTTCATGATGCATATCTTGAGACCTGCTAGTTGTTATCACTGCCATCTCCTCAAATCACTCAATTATTCTATCTTGCCAATTATATCTGTTTCTTCTCCGTCGCTTACACTTCGGTCCTCTCTTACAATCTTCACTACCAATTAATAAACTAAATTCATCTATATATTACTCAGTTCTGAAATTTTATTCATATTATCATTGTAATTTTTATCCTTATTACCCTTATTACTCTCCATATTGAAACCAACTGATCTCCGGTTTGGTAATGTGACGGCCGCTAGTATCCAGAAACCCTACTAGCCTGAAACAAACGTTTCATTCAAATCCCGAGATATACAAACTCATAACCAACTGCAAACTGACTAGAATTAGACAATCGAGCGGCTAGAGCTCCATCCATTGGACATTACCGAACTCCTGGAACCGTACCGAAAGAACAAGAATCGAGCACGAAGAAATCAAATTGGTTTACACTAGCTCGTGTAAAAGATATTGGATATGTTGGAAATGTTTGAATCTAATACTTATTAAGACATGTCCGTAGGTTCAAATAAGTCAATATATGGAAGGCAAAATAACAGCTGGAGCTTACTTAATTAAAATTGAAGAAAGCTTTCAACCTTCTCTCATAATTTAACTAGCCAAACCACCAATGTACATTGAAATCTAAGCGACGTTTTAAAATGCGATTGACCTTGGGTGTATGGAAATTGCTTCCTAGTCGGGGTTTTGTAGCCTCAGTAAGTTTTCGGTTATACTGAAACTGTAAGTTAGTTAACTAATAACAAATCACTACTTTAATTTCAAGATAGTGCACTATGATAGTACTAGTTATTTTGTATGGGGTTGGAAATATTTTATGTGGTTATAAATTTTCATAACGTACTAATCAGATTTTTGTGAATCCTAACATTCTTTTCTAATTTGTCTTCTGAAAGCTAGTAGCAGAAAATCGTCGGCAATTCATTTCTAGCATCACAGTTTACAGAAAGTAGAATCTATTTATGTTCCTAATGTCTGTTGAGAAACAAAGGCTTTTATTTCAACTTCTTAAACATAAGTATAACTCCGACTACAGCTCCATTTCCATAGCTGCAACTATATAATACGAATTCAAAGCAAAGGGTACGCTTCTTTGTTTCCATGAGGTACGATTGGCGTATTATTTATCTAACCACAAAATGCAACTATTTATGCGTCATATAAATCTATGAATTTATGTGTAGTCTGGTACTGTTCGCTTGCTCGAATCGAAGCGGGTGGCTCTCTTAGGTGGCCACCCGTGAGCCTTTGACTCAGAGGTCAGATCCGAAAAGCACTAGAGTGACGGCAGGCGATGCGATCTCACGGTAGCTAGTGACCAACAATAGGTTCATCAAGATCCTGGAGTTCATATGAGTCACTGGTTTGAGATCAGGGTTTTCCACCCCCTGTCGGTGGATCATCCGTGCCCACCAACTTGGTTTAAGCACCAAACACTGGTTTTTCTTACTCTCAATCTCGCAGACAACACCTGTGCCACCAGAGGAGAGTGAGTAAGACTTCCCTGGTAGTTGCTTCATACACGTGACCATATGAAAGCAGCTTGACAGGGAGAGTAAGCTCTCCTCACTTCCGGACATATTCGGACGTTTGAGGGTCTTCCTACTGCACTATACACTCAATAATTTGGAAAGTACTTCTGTTTTTGTTTGGGACCGGTTTTTTGTAGTGATATTAAAAAAACGATCAAAGTCATAAGTCAGGTTCCACTTCTAGTTAGCTATTTTAGTAGATTAGTATAGCCTTAAATACTCTAATAACTAAAGGGTGAATATTCGTGTTTCGCGATGAAAACTGTACTCCTTGCCTCAATAGAGCACTTGAAAACGTGTGCAAACTTAACTAAGACTTAGGTTATAAGATTTTGAATAGTTATTAATTTGTGTATTACACACACGGGCCTTATTTAAACCTGGTATTAGAAGCTCACTATCGTCTATTCTCCAACCAGTTTCAGATGTAGAGGAATATTATTTATCATCTTTTAAAGAATTTCTTAATGCAAGTCTTTCAGTAAATATCATGCACGAGTATCAACTGGAAGTGCCATTTCAATCTTGTAACGTTTCCCTTCCAGAATTTAAAGAATAAGACTGCATTAAGATTAGTAATCAATGTTATTTTACCTGTTTGCATGTAGTGATTTACGGTTGATATTCAAACGGAACTGATATCCGATTGTTTAATTATATTTATCACAACCTCTAGTAAAAATTTATTTTAGTTAAAATAACATGGTTCTCAACATTCTATTTTAAGTCCATCAGAATATCTGGGAATATCAGATCTTTGTCTAGTACTACCAATGTGATTACAGGTGCCAATCTAGATGCTCCTGCTGGATCGAAACATTTTTTAGGCCTAGGGTTCCATAAAGAACTCCCAAAGGCTTGTTATGGGGGCCGCCATACTGTTGCAATGCTTCTTGGAGATGGTGTAGGGCCAGAACTTTTATCGTACGTCAAAGAAGTTTTCCAGGTTATTGGAGCGCCAATAGATTTTGAAGAAATTGCCGTAAATCAAGAATCTGAAGATGCTACATTTACTGATGCTCTACTTGCTATGAAGCGTAATGGTGTTGGAATCAAAGGAAACTTTGCTACAGAACCAGGTATAAGTTCAGTTTTTTTCTTTGTTGCCTTTCTCATAACATTGTTTTGAAAAATTCAGCTACCAATCACTTTGTCGATAACTAACTAGTTTATTTGCTAGATCTTACTGTAATAATAATCCAGGGGAATTTCTTGTTCCATGGATAAAATAATAGTATAATTTAGAGGTTACTAATTAGGTTTCATTAATATATTGAACACGGAGACTTTTTAAGAATAAATTGGGACCAAAACGTTTACCTACAACATTAGTTGTTATTTTATCGAAAAATAGTTATCATGACAACAGGGTAATCACTTAATGGGTTTACATCATAAATCAGTTAAAAGCTTTTGACCTTTGAATTCCTGTTAAACCGTTTAAATGGACATAAACGTCTCATTGGATTCACACCAGGAAGTAAAGTATTGTGTCGAAGTTGACTCATTGAGGGTCTGGAAGCTTTTCACGTTTTATTTCGCTCTTCCTGATGTAATAGTATCAAAATAAATTAGTGATCTCAGCGTTTTTTAAGTAAACCTGTCATTCAGTTGCACTTAGTAAAAGACTCAGCTAGTATTATATATATATATATATATATATATATATATATATATACCGTTTATTAATTGTAGAAAGTAGTCTAAAGTTATATTTTATGACAGCGAAATATGGTAGTGTGGAATAATGAAATATTCAAAGCAGTTATCAAGCAAAAACTAGATGCATTTACTCTGCTCGTTTCCGTAGATCCAGATAACTGCCTATTTCTAGCAAATACTAAGCATAAAGAAAAACACCTTTGGACTTGGCGACTCGCGAAATCGACCCGATGTTCTCACCTAGACCTCATTGCTATCAGCCACCGATATAGAGGCTTGATAAAAGACTGCCGCTCATTCTAGAGCATATGTTTAGATTCAGATAATGTTCTAGTGCAAGTGCGTATTTGTCTGCGCCTTACTGGATGTATGAAAGACACATCAGAGAAACTCCTTAACGATAGCAAAACCAAGAGTATATTTCAGGAACAACTAGAAAAACAGTTAGGTAACCATGTAAGCGATGCACACCCCGAGTCAGCTCGGAACGTTATCCAAAAAGCTGTGGAAACAGCAGTGATATCTGCTAGTCAGGTAAACCATAAGGTTAAGGAGAAACAGTGGATTTCAGTAGCATTTACCTAAGTGACAGTGGCTCGAAAACTCATCCCATCTGACTCTGAACATGACAAAGAGTGAAGTCAGCTTAAGCGCAGGCTGATAAAACGCCTACGCATTGATCGCAAATGGTGGTAAGTAGCGAAAGAAAGAGATATGAGAAAGGCAATGGCGATGCGTAACAGTAGATATCTATTCAGACTTATCAAGGAAACCAGTATGAGAAATCTAAGTGTTAGCGAGACTATCTCTGAAAAATGAGCATATTGATCTTTCTCATTCCAGGAGATTGAATCGATTAGCAGAACACTTTAGGGATCAGTTCAACGGGTCTTCAGACATACTTCGGTTACTCACGATCTCCAGTCAACCTAAATGGCAAAGTGATATAAATCCTTCAACTCTTATTGAAGTTCGTTCAAGAGGTATACTCTTGAATAATATCTTCGAACTCTAATCTTCTCCATTACCGCTAATACTTCTACTACATCTATCACTATGGGATTTTAATTGACAATTACATCTCTGCTAATGTCGTATGGCAACTTGAACTGATCTACATGCGTACGAGGTTTCACGTTGTAGCTAATTAGCTGATAGATCCACCCATAAGGATCAAGTGCCTTATAGATGGAAGTTGATAATATAGTTTAAATATATGTATATCTATAACCACTGGCAAAACTAAGATTTTACTTACAATTTTACATTTTCAGGTCAATCATCAAGAAATCTAGCTCTTCGTCTCAAACTTAATTTATATGCCTACATTCAGCGATGTCGAAACTTTCCAGGTGTGATTACACGTCATCAGAATGTTGATATTGTTATAATACGTGAGAATACGGAGGGTGAATATAGCCGGGTAAATAAGTAAATGTATCATTTTTAAAGACATGTTATGTTCTCCAGTTGTCTGTCAGTTATAAATACATATGTTTCCTATATTCAAGCTGAAGCTCGTATGAAAGTGAGAAGAACTAGAATGAATCAAAAGTTGTAATTATTGTCTGAAAAATGATGTACGCTAATCATCGATGAATATGTATGTATGTATCCCTCAGATATGTAACCCAGAACTTTGACAAAGCGTGTAATGAGCTATGTTTAGCAGTGTGCCTTATCTAGTCATCTTATATACAGCTCTTGGTTTTGGGACATGTGAGCGCAAGTACGTGATATATCTGGCTTCACCAAACCTATCAGTTTTGTACGTTGGATATGATCGAGTCATTATTCTGGTGTCAGTACTATGTTATTCTGAATTTTATCAGGAATCGACAGTATGAAACGGTGTCAAAATCTGTTCTCCTATTGTAGTAGTTCAAACTGGAATTCCCCAATCGCTCGTATTTAAAACGAGGATTTTCAGTTGTATCTACAAGTATCATAATCATAAAAATGGAGCTATTGTGGAAGACAAACGGCATTTAGTAGCCGGGCACTTTGAACCGAATTCTCACTAATTCTCCAAGTCATGTCGGGTAGTAGTTAATACTAACTATTGAAAAAAACGGAATATTCTGTCTTTGAGTATGATAGTTAATTCATTTATCTTAATGAAGAATTCATAGTCTTTTACTACTTGATAATCTTGTGTGAAGTAAGTTTATATTTTCTCATGCGACTGAATAAAATAATCAATTACTTAGTGATGTGACTGACTCACTAGTTTTGTATAAAGAAGTATTATACTTCTGGTGAAGACGCTGACAAAATGCAGAGTCTTCTGTCTACCCTAAGCAACAATGCAAGCATGTTTGGGATGCGGTTTTCCCCCTTCGAAATGCAAAATGTTGCTTCAAGACTGGGTTTCATCGGCACCTGAACTAGTGATAGGGAGTGAAGTAGTCGGGCGTGTCGACCGCTTCACTTATCTTGGGAGTCTCATCAGTACCGATGGCCTGGTGACTGACGAAATCTCAGCACGGATACAGAAGGCTCGATTGGCTTTTGCCAACCTGCGTCACTTATGGCGAAGGCGAGATATCCGTTTGCTGACTAAAGGACGAGTGTACTGCGCAGTGGTTCGCTCCGTCTTACTTTATGGCTGTGAAACATGGCCAATGAGAGTAGAAGATATTTGAAGGTTACTGGTTTTCGATCATAGGTGTCTTCGAAGCATTGCTCGTATATCGTGAGACACCCGAGTGAGTAACGCTGATATTAGGAAACGGGTACTAGGTAAGAATGGCAGATCAATAGATGAAGTGGTGAAACTTCATCAGTTGAGGTAGTTGGGACATGTGTTGCGTATGCCCAACCACCGACTGCCTCGTCGAGCTTTGTTTTGTAGTGTAGGAATAGGTTGGAAGAAAGTTAGGGGCGGCCAAACCAAAACGTGGCAAAAATCCATGAAGTCATTGGCGAGTGGACTGAGCCATGTCGGTAATTGTCGACTACCTGGTTGGGGTCCGCGAGATGATAATAATCGGTGGTTAGGGACCTTGAATGACATGGCTTAAAATCGTTCGCAGTGGCGCCGGTGCATTTATTCTTCGTGTTCTCTCAAATTCTAATCTTCTGGATTCTCCAACACCTCTAGTTTCGACTCTCTAAACTTTTCTCACTGAATCATACTTCTTGAATAATATGTTATAATCCTAACCTCTCCGATTACTTCTAATACCTTTACTACCTCTTCTACTATTGGATTTGAATTGACAATTAGATCTCTGTGCTGATGTGGTATGGCGACATGAACTGATGTACTTACGTGCGAAGTTCTACGTTGCATCTGACTGACTGATAAAGAAGTATTAGTCAATTACTAGGCGACCAAATTAACACGCAGTTCGAATATCACTGAAATTATTAGAGGTTAGGTAATCTAAGAAGATTTTATGGCTTGTATTATGTGGTTGAGTATAAAATAATAACAACAATAATTGTCACTCCAAATCTCATAGTAGTAGGGGTAGAAGAAGTATTAACAGTATTCAGAGAGATTAGGGTTTGAGGATATTGTTCAAGAAGTAGAATCTAGTGAAATAAACTTAAAAAATCGAGGTGATGAGGAGTTCAGAAGGTTAGAATTTGACGGAACACAAAGATTGAATGCACTTGCACCACTGCAAACGGTTTTGAGTCATGTCATTCAGTGTCTCTAACCATCGATTACTATCATCTCACGGACCCCAACCAGGTAGGTAGTCAACACTGACCAACATGAGCAATAGTCAGAATCATACGGAGATGTGAGAAGTTGCAATAATAATCATCATCAATATTATCAATATTAATAAAGTTTACCGTAACTAGAGACTTCTGCTTCGTTTAAGTTATCAACTTTGTCAAACCTGACTTTTCATTTAGCTTACCTTTTTCCGTTTTATATAATATCTAATTATACTATTCTCTACATATTTCTGATTTTGATTAGATTTTCATACACATCGATTGTTTTTTTTATATTGCCTTCATTTCATTTAGTTGGAGCATGAAAATGTCCCTGGAGTGGTAGAGTCTTTGAAAATTATAACTAGAGAAAAATCCACTAGGTTGGTGTTTTTATGTTTAAGAATTGTATGGTTTCGTTTAAATATCAAATGTAAAGTTATATTGATTCCAGCTGCTGAGTTTATAACAGTTTACATTTTTGAAAATAAAGCTAAAAGCAAAGATAACCCTAAGATGTGTATACTTAATTTAGTAAACAGAATAAAACAGATCCGATAATAATAACAATAATATTGACAGTATTGTGGGTTTGTGGATAACGATTTCAATGTGAATCAACCTATGTCAGGAAACACTGGACCACTGTTTTGTCGTAGTGTTAAGATCTTCAGTAATGTTCATCCATGACCCTACCTAGTATCTTCGGTCTCACAGAGAACTCCCATCCTTTAACTGGTATATGTCTTATTAGTTGGAAAAATTCTGAGTTCTATCCCCATTGGGGTTTCAGATGTACATTTTTCATGAGAATGAAACAACTAACCAGGTGGTTCCAAGTTTTCAATGGTGGATCCGTGATTCCAGTAATGAGTATAGCAGTTTTTAAAAATAATGATTCTCACTTGCATATTGGCTTTTGCCAACCTGCATCACGTATGGTGTAGGCGAGATATCCGTTCGCTAACCAAAGGACGAGTGTACTGTGCAGTAGTTCACTCCGTCCTACTTTATGGCTGTGAAACATGGCCAGTGAGAGTAGAAGATATTCATAGGTTACTAGTCTTCGATCATCGATGTCTCCGAAGCATTGCTCGTATATCGTGGGACACCCGAGTGAGCAACGCTGTTATTAGGGCACAGGTGCTAGATAAGAATGGCAGATCAATAGATGAAGTAATGAAACTTCATCAGTTGAGGTGGTTGGGACATGTGTTGCGTATGCCCAACCACCGACTGCCTCGTCGAGCTTTGTTTTGTAGTGTAGGAACAGGTTGGAAGAAAGGTAGGGGCGACCAAACCAAAACGTGGCACAAATCCATGAAGTTATTGACAGCTGAACTGAGCCATGTCGGTAATTGTCGACTACCTGGTTGGGGTCCGCGAGATGATAATAATCGATGGTTAGAGACCTTGAATGACATGGCTCAAAATCGTTCGCAATGGCGCCGGTGCATTTATTCTTTGTGTTCTCTCAAATCCTAATCTTCTGGATTCTTCAACCCCTCTAGTTTTTACTTTCTAAACTTATCTCATTCAATCATACTTCGTGAATAATATCTTCTAATCCTAACCTCTCCGATTACTTCTAATACCCTTACTACCTCTTCGACTATTGGATTTGTATTGACAATTATATCTCTGTGGTGATGTGGTATGGCGACATGAACTGATGTACTTACGTGCGAAGTTCTAGGTTGCATCTGACTGACTGACTTCATATTCTTCAAGCGCATCTCCATCCTATATTTAAAACATTACTCAGTAAATAATATTTCTGAATTTGAATACGCCATTTTTAAACATCTCAATTTTTGTTATCTTTTATGCTTGGAATTTTGAAGCATAAGTGAGATGATATAACCAACTATATATTAAAGTTCTTTACTTTCAAACAATGGATTCAACGTGTCTGTACAAAGTTTGGTAACATTCTTACTGGTTTATTCCAAAACTAAAGCTTTCCTCTATAGTATAGTTATCGGTTCGGTTATACTGTTATATTCTGTGTGGGCTGTTAATCATTGCATCTAGGCTAGTGTATCATATTCATTCTCTGGTAACCAACAACTTCCATTTCTCTCCTTGACTTTCCGATAAACTTTATCACAATCATTTTTCGCTTCATTGTCATTAAAATACTGTTGGTTTATTGTTCTCTGTCTGTGTGTGTGTCATTTATTTTTCTAAATTAGAATTGCTCAGTTTGCATTTGACTATGCTGTTCGACATAATAGGAAAAAAGTCACCGCCGTACACAAAGCCAATATTATGAAATTAGGTGATGGTCTATTTTTGGAAGTATGCACTTCAATGGCTAAAAATTATCCACAGGTTAGTAGTGATAGTCTTATTAGTTATGTTTACTAATTTAGCAATTTTTGTTAATACTGCACATATCATTACCAAAGTTTGACTTGATGATTTCAAATAAATTAACCTTTGAGTGAATTTTTTACTAATAAAAAACAGTATATTTATATGATCACAATGAGTAGAAAAAATTAGGGAAATTGTTCTGGTGTTTCGTGACTTTATGTAAGCCATAGAAATAAATAAACAGATGAAATTGACCTCAAGTTTAAATATTACAATAAAACAAAGCATGAATCTTTAGTACGATCAATCCATCAATCAGTCAATCAATCGACGAATCATAAAAAACAGGTCTGACCAAGTCATTGTCATGTTTTACGCCTGCACGTAAACACGTCAACTTGATATACTTGAACTATTACGATTTTACCTAGTCGGAAAAACGAGAGCGAGGATCGAGGATCCAGTGACATGATTATCCCAACCCCCATACTGAGTAAAAATAAGAAGACTTGATATGAAGTAGAACCTGTATTCTACAGGCATTCAGAAAGTACGGGGTCAGAGTCCAGAAGAGAATTAGGATCCCGGACTAGGAATTCGGGTCCTGGTCCTGGTCGTGGTTATAAAAGGTTACAGATAATGCGTATATATACATTTTGGTTGAAAAGGAAACAGCATCGAAGTCTGTGACATTCACAGTCAAGATGACCAATAGGAAGCAACATTTGAAGTGACATTGATAGTCAGGACAACCAATAGGAAACAAGATTGGAGCACGTGACATTTACCAATGATCCTCTTAGGATATTGGATAAATATCTTAACATCATGTCACTTCAGTGAAGATAATTTAATCAGACTGACTTACTGGTGTGTGAAAAATGTGAAAGGATAGACTTGAGCTTGTTTGAATGATAATAATGTGAGATGTGAATAGAATTCTACATGGTAGCTCGGGTAGAGATGGTCTAAGTTGGATGAATTGTACTATTTAATCTTGAGTTAATTTAATTCTTTTATTTCATTTTCTAGAGAAATGGCTTATACAAATTTACGAAACGTCATTTTTTCTGTTCATTGAGGTATTAGAAATGTAGTGTTTTTATTAAGTACGAAGTATTGATTATCACGGGCATATCATGTTATGATGGAAGCTTTAGTTTGATGGTTTGGATATAGCGAAGTGCAAACCCCATCGTAATTTGTTCGCAGTATCCTTGTGTTATCACTCACAAAACCAGTTTGAAATATAGCGTAATGCACGAGAACTAAGTAATTAAATTACGTTAGGAAGGAGTATACAAGTGTTGTAACGCCTGAAATGAATTAACCTAAAACTTTCAACGGATGATGTAATTAGTAATTCTATTTTATGATCGATCACATATGAATTTATTGTTCTAGACTATAAGACATTTTTGTAACTGAATACTAACGCTACAAGTAGTTAGCTTTTTAGAGAATGATAGTTCAAGTGCAATTAGCAATGACGATTTCCGTTTTTAATGAATTGATTGTGAAAAATATTTTGAGTATGGACATATTTGTAGAATAGGCGGTAATAAAATAACTAAATCCCTTTCTAATTAACAGGTAAGGAAATGCGAAAAAAAATTAAACAATCATGTAATTTCCGTAGTTCGAATTACAAACTGATCTTAATTAAATCATCACTCAATACCTAGAAGTACTGGACGGCCGTTCCATCGTAGTATGGGACTTCTCACCAGTAACGCATCCGATGGTCGAACCCAGGACTTTCGGTCTCAAGCGCGAACGCTTAACATCTAGAGCACTTAGCTGGCCTCCAACAGTGTAAATGTCTAACTTCAATCAATTCGCAGTATTGCTTGCAGTGGACAGCTGTATCACATTAGACACAATGGAACTCCACCAACCACAGCTTCCAACTAAAACTCCAGGAGTAGTAGTTACATCTTGACGCTAGTCACTAGTGTACAAATGATTATCATTAGCGCAGGGGGATTTGTGGATATTGTCGGATTTTCATGGTGGTCCGACAAAAATCTCAAATCCCCTCTATAACTGTTAGCCATATCTGACATATGTATTAAAAGGAAGTTAACAACTATTCGTTATGAGGATTATTCCGCAACTACCGAATCTATCAAAAATTGTATTTATTCTTGTACAAATAAAGTATTTTTAGTCATTATAATTTTAGACAGTTTCACATTCTCCAAATTTCATTTATTCACTTTTCTTTTAATCATATTGCGGGTGGCGGTGCGGTGCGGCGCGGCGTGTATAGATTGAATTCAATCATATGATAATTGATAATACATGTATGCAATTAGTTAGTAAACCACAACAATTCGATGTGATTGTTTTACCAAATCTATATGGAAATATAGTTGGTAATGTAGCAGCTGGTTTAGTCGGTGGAGCTGGTCTAACTACTGGCATAAATTTAGGCCCAGAAAATGCACTATTTGAAATGGGTACACGAAATTCTGGACGTTCATTAGCTGGAAAGAATATTGCTAATCCATGTGCTATGTTATTGACATCAGCGGATATGTTAGATTATTTAGGTAAGTTGATTAATTTTCATTTTAAATTTCTTTTTAGATATTTTCAAATGTTAGATTTTAACAGTGCGTTATTGAGTGATACTAATGATTATTAGCTAAGGATTAATTCATGCTATTTTCTTCCCCTTACAACATTAATTAAAGTCAACTAATTGAATTTACTTGACCAGAAATAAGGATAAATAACTCACTGGACAACATTTAAGAAAGATTGAACTTGTAACAACTTGTGTATTGAATAATTAGTTAAATGAAATACCAAATCTTTGATAGAGTTCGTCACTTAGTATGCTTGAGGCTATTACGAGTTTACCTTAGTCGATAAACGCGAACGAGACTTTTACCAGCGTCCAGGTAGGCTACCGTGAATACCCAAAGTCGAAATAAAAGGCTTTGTAAGCGTTGAAGTATATTCTACAAACACCCAGCAATCACAGTACGATCAAGCATACAACTCTCGTTTATTTATACAACATAGAAACGCCATTGAGACAGTTAAGAAAATAGCACACTAAAATACACAGCAGCCAATCACAGCCATGGATTTTCCTGGTGGGAGTTGAAATCTCAAGGTCAACTGATCAGCCCATGCTGGCAAACGTGCAAACCAAAATAAGGCATTTATCAAGCGAATTTCGGGGGTCTAACATCCCCAACAATCTTTAAATTGTCATTTTCAATTATGTGATAGATCTGTTACATTTATTTTAATGATCATTTCGTTGTTTTCTCCAGGTCATATAAAAGAAGCTCAACTTATTCGTGATTCAATTATTGATGTTGTCGGTGAACAGAAAATACGTACAACTGATCTAGGTGGTAATTTTAAGACTAGTAAAGTGATTGAAGCTATCTTGAAAAGTTTGAGAAGTAAACTTGCATCGTAATACTACTACTGCCTGAGAAAAAACTACTGCATTCTAACTTAGTATAATATCGATGTGTCCATTAGAAATTTTGTTGTAATTTTGTCTTTCTTGCCCCCCCCACCAACTTTATATTCAAGTTAGCACATTTAGTGAGATATCGATCTGATACACCTATTATCATATCAGTCGTGTATTGTCTTATTGAAACATGTAAAATATGCTTAAAATATATTTCAAAAATATCGTAAAAAACTCTCTGTCTTTCTATACTCTCAAGTTGGACAATTTTATAAGTCATTAACTGGTTATAAATCACGTTGCTTAT